TCTAATCAACATTTGTTATGAAAGAATTGATGAAATTGAGTTTAATACCAAATGATTATCATCTCATCATATATGTTAATAATAATAGTTCAGATGATACTTTCACATCATTGGTAAATTATATTAATATTCCTGTTGTCAAAACTGATTACTAACATATAGAACAACAAAATAAATATGTTTCAACCATTTCGACATTTAAATTAATGTAAATAAAAATGATTTAAAATCAACATATTTAAATAATTTTTGTGATTTAAAGATTGAATAAACTAAATAAACACAAAACAATGAAACCAAACAGAACCATTAAATACACAAAGTTTTTTCTTGAGAATTGGCAAAGAAAAGAGTTGTTGTCAATTAAAAAAAGACAATCCAAACGCAAATGCCAGAATGATTAAAAAATTGGTGTCTATACATCAATAGAAACAGTTAGTAAACTAATTTCAAAATAACAAAATGAAAACTTTGAATTTACCAGAGACACTCAAAAAGTTGAAAAAAGGTAAAACATCCGTTATTGGAAAGCGCGACTGTTAACACAATAATTAATGCTGATAAAGAAGAATTGGACCGCTTGATAAGTTCTGATAAAATGTTTGAACTTCTTTATTTGAATCTATTTTTATAATAGTTCTTAATTAGAGTTTTGAAACTATTTATTTTACTTACAATTATTTGGTCTCTGATAATTACTTGTCAACTGAAGTTTAGAAAAAAAATTACTTGTGGAATAAAACCACTTGGATTAAAAAATGGTTCTTTTTTAACAAAATTACAGTTATGTGTTTAGTTTAATTTTTTTAAAAAATTTGATTTTAAGTGTCAATTTTACATAAAAATAGAAAGCCCACTTTTTATAACATTTTCAAATTGTCTATTGACTTTTTTTGTTTTTAATTTTTTTGGTAATATGAAATGGTTATTCGCCGCGGCTATTAACACTTAAAATAACGCCCTTATTTTGTTTTGACCTGTTTTTACTGGGATATTAATCAAATTTTTGATGATTTTCCTTTTTGGCTTGTGTATTGTTTATACACATATTTCTATAAACTCTAAAAAAACGGAAATTTATTTAATAAACTCGATATTTCCCCGATTTTTAGACCATTTGAATTTTGTTCAATGTTATTTAAAGTGTTAAGAGACTTATTTATTTATTTGAGAAATTAACATTAAAACTATTTTAACGGATACCTTTTAGCTTCAAAAAAACAATCAAAATTTGTAATTATAAAATGCTAG